GTAGCAACACGTAATGTAATGGAGAATTATCGAAAGAAAAGGAGAGATGAGAAACGTGTTTTCAGAAAAAAGAAGAAAGAACAAGAAAAACGTGAGCGTTCGCAAATCGAGATGTACAGGAGTCAGAATGAAGTCCGAAAATTTTACCAACGAGTAAAACACCAAACCAAAGGCTTTGGTACAGGCACGTCCATCTGTAGAGATGAAGAAGGAAACCTGGTTACAGCACGCTGTCGGTATCTGGAGGAAGTATTTTGAAAAACTTATGGTATCAAATAGTAGCGGTGAAGAGGATACCCCAGAACCAATAATAGATGACGGTATAGAGTGCTTACCATCTAGCAAAGATGAGGTCAGAATAGCAATCAATCGGCTGAATAAAGCCGCAGGTGCCGATGGGTTACAAGCCGAACTATTCAAGACTGGTGGTCAGATGCTGGTAAGGAGCATGCACCAGCTGATTAGTACAATTTGGCTAGAGGAATGCATGCCCAATGATTGGAACCTCAGAGTCCTGTGTCCCGTGCATAAAAAAGGAGACAAGGCGATATGTGCCAACTATAGAGGAATATGTCTCATTCCCATCGCATATAAAGTGTTATCCAGCGTGCTGTATGAACCACTGAAGCCAATGGTCAATGACATTATTGGACTATACCAATGCGGCTTCTGACCTGACAAGTTCACCATTGACTAGATTTTCACATTGCGCCAAATCCTTAAAAAGACCCACAAAAACACATCGACACATACCACCTATTCGTCGACTATAAAGCCGAATTTGACAGCCCTATCCGTACAGAGGTGTTTAAAGCCATGTCTACGTTCGGCATTCCTTCAAAATGCAGGATCACTTTAAGTGGCACAAGGTCAGCAGTTGAAGTCGGAAAGGACCTATCGGAGCCCTTCAATACCGAAAGAGGTGACAGTCCTATCCGTTCAGAGGCGTTTAAAGCCATGTCTACGTTCGGCATTCCTGCAAAATTAATACGGCTATGCAGGATAACTTTAAGTGGCACAAGGTCAGCAGTTAAAGGACATATCGGAGTCCTTCAATACCGAACGAAGTGACAGTCTGTCGTGTGATCTTTTTAACATCCTGCTGGAAAAGGTCATACGAGATGCAAAGGTGAACAGAAATGGCACTCTGTACACCAAACAACACAGGTTACTCGCCTACGCCGATAACATTGCGAGCGGTAACAGCCTCCCTTTGAACGAATTAAGAAGGAGTCTGCCAAAGTGGGTTTGGCAGTAAACGGCGAGAGGACCAAGCTGATGGTATCAACGCTCAAGACGTCCAGTAGACTCGGACCAACTGTGGAACTTGAGAACCACAGCTTCGAGGTAGTTAAAGATCTTATATACCTTGGTAGCGCCATAAATAAAACGAATGACATCAACAGATGCTACTATGGTCTAAGTAAGCAGTTTAGAAACAAGGCCACCTGCCGCCAGATCAAACTCAAACTTTACAAGACGCTGATAATAACCGTGCTGTTACATGGATCTGAAGCATGGGTACTTGCGCAAGCAGATGAGGCAGCTATTGGGGTGTTTGAAAGAAAAATTCTCCGAAAGATCTACGGGCCGATCTGCGTCGACGGTGAATATCGGCGTCGAATGAACCACGAGCTTTACAATTTATACGCCGACATCGACATAGTCAGTCGTATTGAGCTGCAGCGACTACGGTGGCTACGGTTGTGCGGATGAATGAAAATGTCCCAGCTCAAAAGGCATATGATGGTTCCCATAGAAGGCCACGAATCAGATGGAAATACCAAGTAGATAACAACATCTTGAAACGTGGTCTTTCAAATTGGAGGAAATGCGATCAAGACCGACGCGCTTGGAAATCTTTTTAAGCTCGACTTATGGAAAATCCGTTCTGTAACATTTCCAATTTTTTCGTTTTCATAATATTTATTTAATTTAAATTATTTTTAAATAAAAAAAATTAATTCGCCCAAAAAATCCACATTGCCTTTATATGTGTTCTGGCACAACGTTAGTTAGCTGCGGTTTAGCTAAACAATTTGCCTGAAAAATATTTTATAATTATTTTATAATTATTAATATTGTTTTTGTTATTTTGTTTTTCAACGAATTATTTAAACCACATTTAAAAATTTATGCTTATTCCACAATACCACCTTTCACAAAAAAGATATGTCTAGATGAGGTTGAACACAAGAGTTCGTTGGATGCCAATGAATTTCAATAAATAAATATAAAATTGTTGTTGACTAACAGCGAATATTAAGTGGATAGAAAAAGTTGCCAAACCAATGCGGACGAACCACACACACAACAAAAATGTATATAAATAAATAAAATTATTAAAAACTCCCAGGAATTAAACCGCAAAACAGAGAAAAAGTTTTCTTTTTCATCCCCAAAATATTATTTAAAACCACAAAGCCTGCGGGGTAGAAAATTTCTTGAATGAAGGCGAAAATTGGAAAATTAAGGCGAAGATGGGGATATTTTTAATTTAAAATGTTTCTCAAATGTTTGTTTTTAATAAATTTGGCTTTAAATGTTTGTTTTTAATAAATTTGGCTTTGATTAATTTTTTTCCTACTCTCGCATGTTTATTAAAAATGGAATTTCTGACGAATTTTTCCTCATATGACAGCAAATAATTTTGAGAGAAAATTTCCAAATGAGTTTATTTCCTGAAATTCGAATTCTCAAAATTGGAAAAAACTCCCATTTTAATTTATTATTATATATATATATATATTTTCCACCCTAATACACATAGACCTCTTTAGAGCTCCACTTTTCCATTGTATTTTTTGTTTCGTTTTCCCTTTAGTTATGATCCACATATAAAATATGCATCGCATCCCGAAATTCCTGGTACCAGAAAACTGCAGAAAACAAGTTACGTTTCGAACACAACAAAATTTTGTTTTTTGTTGTTGTTATTTTTCATAATTGCCAAAGGACATGTTAAAACGTCATAGTAACACGTCGACGACGACGACATTACCCAAAGCATAAACAAAGTGGAGAAAAACTCTCAATAGGGATGGTACTACTAACAAGCTGGGCAACCAACCGCAACGATAACTTTTCAAAGGAGCAACAAAAATAAAAATAAACAACGAAATATTCGCAGGACAAAAATTTCAGCTTGAGACACAAAAGCGAAATGTAGGAGTTTTAAAACAGGCGTGGATTTTTTTTTTAATTATTTTTATAAAGCCTATCAGTAGCCGCGGATTTTTTAAAATAGGCATGGATTTTATTTAAATTATTTTTATAAAGCCTATCAGTAGTCGCGGATTTTTTTAAATAGGCATGGATTTTTTAAATTATTTTTATAAAGCCTATCAGTAGCCACGATTTTTTTAAATAGACATGGATTTTTTAAATTAATTTTAAAGCCCATCCAAATGTTTGGTTTTTATACCATTCACCACACTGTGGTACAGGGTATTATGTCTTTGTGCATATGTTTGTAACAGGCAAAAGGAAACGAGATAGACACATGGTTCCTTTTGAGAATATGCATAGAATCACTTTCTAAGTCGATTTATTCATGTCCGTCCGTCTGTCCGTCTGTCCATGTTAAATTGTAAACAAAGTACAGGTCGCATTTATGATCCGAATTGGATGAAATTTGGCATAGGTCACTTATTCGGCCCAAGGACGAACCCTATTGAAATTGGGAAAAATCGGTTCAGATTTAGATATAGCTCCCATATATATATTTAACCGATTTAATGTAAACGGTCCCTATATAACTTTCGATTTGCACGAAATTTGGTACAGCCTAATCATTTAGGTATAGAATGATGTCTTCCAAGTTTCGTGAAAATCGGTCCAGATTTAGATATAGCTCCCATATATAGTTTCGTCCGATTTCATGTAAATGGTGCATCAAAGTCCCTATATATCTTTTGATTTGCACGAAATTTGGTATAACGTGCTGAATTAAGCCTAGAGTGATGTATGCCAAGTTTGGAGAAAATCGGTCCAGATTTAGATATAGCTCCCATATATAGTTTCGTCCGATTTCATGTAAATGGTGCCCCAAAGTCCCTATATATCTTTCGATTTGCACGAAATTTGGTACAGCCTAATCATTTAGGTCTAGAATGATGTCTGCCAAGTTTCGTGAAAATCGGTATCATATAGTCGGCCCCGTCCGACTTTACTACTTTCCTTACTGGTTTATATTATTATTTTTATTTTTTTTAAGCCTATCAAAAGGAATGGATTTTTTAAAATTATTTTTTAAGGCCTTTTTTAAGGTATACCCATAGGCGTAGATTTTTTAAAAAATATTATTTTAAAAAATATTTTTATAGTCTATCCAAAGGCGCAGATTTAACAAATATTTTTATAGTCTATCCAAAGGCGTAGATTTAAAAAAAAAACATTTTTATAGTCTATCCAAAGGCGCAGATTTAAAAAAAATATTTGTATGGTCTATTTAAAGGCGTAGATTTTTTTTTAAATTTTGATAGTCTATCCAAAGGCGTAGATTTTTAAAAAGTATTTTCATAGTCTATCCAAAGGCATAGATTTTTTTAAACAATATTTTTATAGCCTATCCAAAGGCATAGATTTTTTAAACAATATTTTTATAGTATATCCAAAGGCATATATTTGTTACAAAGCATTTTTAAAATCTATCAAAAAAAAAATATTTTTCAAGGTCTTAGAAAAATATTTTTCAAGGCCTATCCTTTGGCGTGGTTGGTTTAAAAAAATATATATTTTTCAAGGCATATACATAGGCATACATTTTTTAAAAATATTTTTCAAGGACTATCATTAGTCGTGGATTTTTTAAAAGATATTTTCCAAGGTCTATCTTTAGGCGTGGATTTTTTTAAAACATATTTTTTAAGACCTATCAATAGGCGCGGATTTTTTGCAAATATTTTTAAATTTATTTTAATTATTTCTCATTACCAAAATTGCATTAATTCGCCCCAAATTCCCCCTAAACTATTTTTTATTACAATTAATGAACTTACCATCCTCATAGGTTTGGACAATTTTCGAATTGCTCGGCTGACCCTCCAACGTTTGAAAGAATGGTGCCAAAAAGAATTCATATTTCGTGTATTCCTTTAGATTACCCACAACATGTGATTCAATGGAAGGATTTAATACCGTCAGTATATTGTATTGTTGAGAATTTGCACTAACATCACGATAACGTATATAAAGACCCTAAAAGTATGCAACAGAAAAATTTCATATAATTAACACATTATTGTAAATGACTTGGCGAAAAGTGTACTTAAATGAGAAAATGTTTTTAAAATTGTTTTTTTTTCTTCCAGCTGACCGGCTTGCTACATACCTCAACATATTTTTCGGTTACGCTTACATGCATAACCCAATCCAAACGGACGGCGGTGGAGTTAATGGCTGCAGCATCAATTAATTCAACAACCTGTAAAGGAGAACAAAAAATATGTTGAGAATAAATATAAAAATAATCAATAAGACATTAAATAAAAAATGTTATTAAAGAAAGAAAAAAAACTGAAACAAACGACAACAACACATTATGAGAGATGGGATTTTGTTTTCTTGTTTTTCGAAAATTAATAAGGATTTAATAAATCATTACTTATATATAAATGAAAAAACAAGCAGGCAAGAAATTTGCCTGGACGTGCATATTTTTAATATTGCAATAAAAACAACAAGTATCAGCCTCACACCATCATTACATTCATTTATTGCAAAGATTTCTCCCCATACCATTGCAGCCTAAAAGTATGCAATGAATATGGGATTTTCAACAGCTGATTACAAACCTCATATGGTATTGTTAATAGGGAGGAGGTTATTTAATATTTGCTCTTAAATACTGGAAAAAATGTCTTTATTAATTTTATATACATCCTACCGCCATCCATCCTTCCCTCCCTTATGTCCACAATCCCCGCCTTTCTTGCATATTTTATGGCATTTATTTATTACTTTTTACACTCGTGGTGTGGAAAGTAAAGAATTTATTATAAATACTTCATTGAGCGAATTTTTGTTTGTTGCTGTTGTTGTTGTTGTTTTAATTTGGCTTTTGTGTGAAATATTGATTTTTACTGTGCATTCTGACCATCATTGGATTGCAGTTTGGTTTCGATGTGTGTGTGTGTGTCGGTGCGAATGTTTTTGTATAGATTTGTAAAGGAGGAAAAATGTTGTTTTTTATCATTTGCCTGCACTTGCCACTGTTGCATTTTATGTTGCAAGTATTTTTTTTTTTGTAGAAGCGACAGATTTTTATTTTATTTTATGTTTTGTCTGAATTGCATTCAGAAAGCGAGCACATAAAAAACCAAATTGAAACCAAAAACCTCAATAACTTGCGTGTGAAAACATCTGCATATATTCATTCAATAACAAACACATATATACGTCCATATATATTTAAATTCAGCATCAATTCCATACGAATGGACCCCCATACCCATTCATAGATATGCAAATATATTTATCGGTTTTGCAGAATTTACAGGTGATTGACGGTGGTGTATATATGTATAAAGCTTTTGTTTGAAACGAATCATCATATAACTTTTATTTGAAAAAAAAGGAAAAACAAATTGAAATTGATTTTGTAGTATTGACAGCTGTACACGGGAATATCTATCTATTCATGGTTGAATTTTGAAAAAGCATGAATGCTATGATTTGCCAGACATATTGGACAAGTGATATGGCACTTAAAAGATTTTTTATGGTAATAGAAGAAGAATGAACATAACCCTGTAATTTTCAAATCATATCGTGGAGCAGCGATATTTTTACACGGAGCATTTGAATGACAGTTTGGAAAATGAAGAATCATCAAAAGAGTTCCTAAATAATGAATATAGTGGAATGATTAATGGAATGATTTTTTGGGGCGTTAACTGTTTCTAGCATGATAATAAACTGGAAATTCAATTCCAAAATGAACCCTTCTAAGAACCCGCAGTTTCTCCTTTACATAACGATGTTTTATTATGCTCTTCGATTTCCAAGAAATGAAGAATTAAATCAAATCAATCGACATTTTAATATGATTGCGTATTAGTAATATTATTTTTTTAATCCACCGGTCGTATGAACAACATTAGTAAGTCATACGCCACCTAAAACTACATAGCGAAAAATTTAGAAATGTATGGAGTAAAATCTCTTAAAATCAAATGCCAAACACAAAATTCAATTGTGGGTTGCAAATAAGAAGTAGTATTTATATAACCTACATTGTATATTACAACTAAAAATACATATTTATTATACATCTCGGCTAATTTACAAATATGCCAATACTATTTCAAAGAATCCTTCATTCCATTTGTTGTGTATTTCAAAAGACAAAATCTTCCATTATTTCAAATTGTTTTAACTTTCCGGAAGAGATCACAAGGAAAGGATATCGGTGATAGCAAAAACATAAAACTTTAAAATAGAAATACATTTTGGAAGAAAAAAATAGTTTGTAAAAGGTTTATTGAGATAAAAAAATATATGTATATGTTTTCACTAGAGATCAAATTTGCGTATAAGTAATATCACAGTTTTTATTGATCATGCGCTACAAAGGCACGTCAGAGAATCAATCATGATTTTTGAAATACTGAAAGAAAGAAAATTAGCAGCATCTATTAACAATATTTAAAATTCATTGAAAAATATTCAAATTTAGTTCTTGAAATATTTCCAAACTTTGAAACATTTCAAATGCATTTCATTGGCTAAAACGAATCTTCATTTCCTTTATATACAGTTTCTAGAGGCAAAATCCCTTATGCTTTTATTATCGTACGTAATATCGTATAATTAATAATAATTATAGGAACTTTAAGGCGTATACACAATGTTTATTGATCATACGCCTAATATGGCCACCACTCCGAATCGAAGCGATCCGAGGACAGTATTAACAAAAAATCCCATTCAAATGCCTTCTTTTTAAGGCTCAACATCTTCTAAGCATTTTGGAGATATTCTCTTTATAAAAGTGTATTTTTATCTATTGAAGATTGTTTCGAATTATTTTACAAAAGGACTCCATGTACAGAATTTTAGGGTTTTTACAAACCGGACAGGAATCTGTGCTGTATTACTTTCGGAAGATTTCTATTGGGACGTTTGGGATGTTTTTCTATGGAATTCCTCTCAGCGGTCTTCTGATTTATATAAGAAGTTTAAAAAATAACTTTTATTAAAGTCTCTCATTCGTCTAATAAAGTTGTCAAAACATAACAATCCTGGTTGCCCTCATAATATTCACTTGCATAGACTCAAAGACTCCCTGGGCCAATGGTCAGAATATTTATTTGAAGTATTATTTATTTCCCCCCTAACTATAAACATCATCAATTGTTCGTATATATGTCTTCATAAACCTCTACAACATATCATCTTTATGCACACACACACACACTCACACATGTAAAGAGAGCCCTGCTGTGCAATTTGTGAATGTTATATGCATAAATAAATGCGTTTATGTTTGGCTGTGTGTATGTGCGCTCATGTTTGTTGGTACATTGGACAGGCATGAATGGCTGCCTGTTATCTCTGTTAACAAATATTTATTTTACACTTGAATAAACGGGTCAATACAATATCATATCGTGTTATGTTGTTGTATGGCGTTATGTATGTATGCATGTGTAAGTAAATGAATGGTTATATGAATGAATGCATGCGGCAATGATATTTGCATTTATGTAGGCAATACACGGCCGAGCACACAAACACACACTGTAGAAATTTATGCAAATTAAGAGAACAAGAGCTAGGGAGAAAAAAACAAATATTTTTTCCTCGAAGCTTTCACTATCCTATGAAACAAACAAACAAAGAAACAAAAAATAGTATGACCAGCAAGTGCCTGTTTGCTTGTATTAAGTTTTGTTCTCCTTACATTTAATGGTATAAATTAGTGTTTTATGCAAAAACATAACCCATTACATGATTGCCACACAACATATACATGTGTTGAATACGCAGGCGGCATATAGGCTACAGCATCAAAATTCAATTTAAAACCACATCAAGCAAACTCCTGCACGCGTGCTTTCTTTGAGAGTAAGTTGTGTGATGAAGAGCGTAAAAAATGGATCTCTGCCTGAACCTGATTTAAAGAGTAGCACATTAACAGCAAAAGAGTTCGCAATGTCTGCTGCAGCAGAATCTCTGTTTACATGAGAAGAATATATGTATTTGTTCCTAGCACACACACATGTTGGAGGAGTATGTAGGTGAGTTGTGTGTGTGCATGGCAAATGTGTACTTATGCTGTTTGTTAGGCCCATTTGTTTGCAAGTGTCATTTTGTATTTTATGTTTACGCGGCTGAGGGAATGTATGTGTGTGTGTTTGTGTGCGGTGGGTGTGCATGCTACTATTTACAACGTATATTGATGTTGGTTTCCATCATACAACCACAGATGAATAACAGTAGCATCCGTGTGTTAGTGTGTGTGCTTGCTGTGGCTTGTGATCATTGTTTTCCGTATATAGATGTCGCCTTTTGTGAATGTGTGGGTGTGTTTTGGTCGCTTACTTTCATTGTAACGCAATTGTTCTTTGTTTGACAAACTAATTATTTTTTTTTTTTAATTCATTAAATTAAGACATTAATTTTTAAATGCAAAAAAAATCCTTCATAGCTTTTACAAATTCAAAAGTCGTTTAAAGTTCAATATTAGATAACAAAAACATCGATAATAAATTTAGGCTAAAAACCCACAAACCAAATCACTTGCCCAGTCATCCAACGCCTTTTATCAAGCAAGCACATGAAAACAAAATTTCAAAAGATAACGAACAATTTTTTTCAAAATCAAAAGCATAAATTATTTAAGCGTACTGTTTAGAGCAGAGCTTGTTTGTGTGATTTGCTTAAAGTACAAATAAATAAGACAAAAAATACCTTTGATTTTTTGTTGTTTCTTTTTTGCTTGCGATTTCATTATCGTTATTAAAGAGAACAGCCCACGCTATAATAGACATTACCAAAGCGTTATTGTGGCCAGGCAAAAATACAAATATTTAATACATTTAATAAAACTGCTTAAACATGCAACTCATGTTGGCTGGCTGGCGTTTTCAAATAATCACTATCCCCCCCTCACCCCCTTCTTCTTCCCCTTGACAGCGATTTTTTGCATATCTTGTATTTTTTATGTTAATATTGTCACATACCATATAGTAAAACTTAAATTCAATGAGATTGTTGGCTGGACGGCTGGCGCTTGTGCTACAAGCTACAACAACAATAACAAACACAAATAACAACAACGATTTTCTATGTTATGGCTGTTGTTTGCATTTTTGTGGTAAATATTTTGTTAGCTTGGCTAAATATGGGCGTCTCCTCTTGTTTGGCCAAGTAAATGATGCCGGTCGTGAAGACATGTTTGACCATTTTTTTCCTTTAGCA